GTGACGGGGATTCGAACCCGCGACCCTCAGATTGCGAGTCGAGCGCCTAACCACCTGGCCATGCCGAGCCCGACCATGTTGAGGAAAGTATGAGGGAGTGGTTCACCAGGTCGAACATAGATGGCGACAAATGTAAGAAGACGTGATGGGAAATAGACTGTGAGAATAAGGTGTTCAGGATAATTATTCGGTGGAAGAGCGTGGAGGCGAAAAGGAAGAGTATTCCGACTGCATATTACTACACCCCCCTCGACCTACTCCTCTGGGATGATCGTGCCGATGAAAGTGAACACCAGATAACTTAGCAACTTGAGAACGTTTCAGGAAAGTTTCATCGTAAGCAGTCTCCTGGAGAAGAGGTGGGAGTAAAAGCTGGTTGGCGAGAAATAAACGAATGTTAAGGAAAATAATGTTTATTATTCTGTCGCGACTCGCCCAGATGGTGCTTGGTCCCATGGGCGACGAAAACAGAAATGAGAATTGAGGCCTGAATATGAGGCTTGGAGTTTAATTTGAAACACGACCTTTGCCGCATATTTTATGCTATCCAGAATGAAAGGACGATGGGATATTCTGTAAAGTGATGATGAGAAAAAGGAGTAGATCTTCAAGAGTAAGTAGGAGAGTTTGATAGAGTGGGATCATCAGGAGTAGGGGGGTGGCTTTCCACGACATTTGTAGGAGTAAGTTGGATGGTCCCCTTGTTGCAGATGAGTGGAGAATCCAAGTGGGAACAATGGTGGGGAAAGGTGAGGACCACGACAATGGGGACAGACGGACTGATTTGGGCACCGAGTAGTGGTGTGGGTGTTGTAAGCAAGACAACGTTCACAGCGAATAGGTTGTGGAGGTAAAGTTCGAGATGGCTCCACACGATGACGTTGATGATAAAGAAAAGCACCGTGTAGAAGAAGATGATCAACGAAATCACTAGAGACGGCGAGTATTCGGACCACGAAAGTATGATCTTTGGCACTCTGTTTGCGGATAGTGCTTTGACAGAGACACCATCTTCCACGAGTTCAGAAATGATATGTGATTCAGCAAGCAGAGGATCCACCCCACGGATAACACAAGAAAAGAGAGGACTTCTCCGTGGAGGAGGTTGCTGTTTTAAGGTGGGTGAAGAAAGAAGCTTAAGAGTTGTAGATACCCCAAAGTAGACAAGACCAATCGTGTTGGGAACAACGTAGAGCATCTGAGCATTGTGGGATTTCACAATGAAGCCATTATATCTGGTGTATGTTAGATCGAATCCAAAATTTGGACACATCCTGGTAAAATCGACTTGGGGAATAGAATTGAGCATCCATGTTGGAGAGGAGGAATACTTGTAGGTGAGAAGCTGAGCCTGTATCCAAAGGAGCAGAGGTGGCTAAGACATGAAAGGTACAGTAGAAGGTGTGGTGGGAGAAGAACGAGGTGAAGTTGAAGGTTCTATGGATGGTTCATGTGAAGCGACGTCAGCATAGGTAGGTCCAGAAACTGGAGGTGCAGAGTCCAGAAGCAGCGTAGAATATCCCGATGATGATACTGACGTGCGAGATGGCTTTTTTTTTTTTGGAGTCAGTAGTCGGATGAGAATAGGGTTTAGTCCGAGTGTTGGTGGCAGAAAGTCCAGTCTCCTCCAAAATTCCAGGTTGTTCCACAACAAGAGGGAGGCCAGAAGAGCACTTCAAGTAGTCAGTATAAATAAAATCCGAACAAGGTAATATTGAAATATGAAAAACTAAACAAAGTTAGTAATAAATACACTATACTCACGAGAAATTACAATCAGGAATCAGTACAGTAAGGCACAATCAAAAGGCTCCCAAACCTTGGGTTCCTATCTATCTTCCTCGCACACACACACACATTATTATGGTGTATAACGCCTTGTGCTGGCGAATCGTGATTTATTAATCGCTAGTTTTGTGACATTAAGTCATTATAAGACCAATAATAAATTTCCACAAATCTTTCATTTAATTACGTCACACAACGTCACACAAACAGCTTATCTATTCGTCAGCATAAGGCCTTATACATATTTATAAGTAGCGTACACATATACATACGTATATCAATGGCGTGCATAGTATGTCACGTGCCCCATAACAGAAAAAAAAAAAAATTGGGACGTTTTACTGCTCTTTATTTACATTCAATTTTTGACCAATCAGATAATTTAGAATCGTAGCTGTGGTAACAGTATAGTGTACTCATTAAACATCATTATAGCATATATGTATGTATGCACGCCGTGTGATAAGCCTAATCCAGGCCCCCCTTTCCTCCCGGACCCCGTAGCAATGCTATGGTGGTATATAAACGACTGATATGTAAATATATGTACTTTTTGAAGGATATGTCTTCTTTATTATCATTCAGACAGGTAGCTCAACGTTTAGAATTTTCTTTAAACCTTGGGAAATGATTCAAGCGATATAAAAACACGAGTCACGCGAGACCAGATGCCGATTGGTTATTCAGTTAACGAGTTTCATACTTCAGTTTGTCTTTCAAAGACGTGCAAGAGATACGAGAAGTATAGATTTACGTTTGTTTGTTCATGGCAAAGATACTAAAGCTATCGTCACTAATTTTGAACTGGCGGTCATAGGGAAGGCAAAAGGTCGGCAGCCCCTGCAGCCAACTCTTGAGTTACACTTAACTAACGAATAGTGAGATTGCCGTCACATTATAATGAAAGGGGTAGCATTTCGATACCGCGACCCACACATTATGAGTCGAGCGCCCAAAACAACAATCCTGTAAATAGGAGAAAATTAGCATGTTCTGTTACTTTTAACGTCTACTGTGAAGTAAACTGGAGATTATACTATTTTCTACAAAATAATCCAATAAGAACCAGACCAATAACAGAAAACGTTAAAACAATATGATAATGGCTGTTATATTATAAGTGAATTATATAAAGAGAGTTTCGACCTGATGAGCTCTGGTACCGAGCAAAAGGCTTCGTCGCATATCATACATTTTTGTGATGTTTAATTTCGCGCAAAGCTACTCGAGGGTTATCTGCGTTAGTCGTTCCTAATTTTCAAGTGATAGACTAGAGGGAAGGCGGCTAGTCAACACCACATATCATTAATTCTTTGGTTAATCTTTACCAACAAATAGTAGGATTAACCGTCTCAATATAACGTTCCCACGGCTGAAAGAGCAAGCATGTCCGGTGACGGGGTTCGATCCCGCGATCCACAGATTGTGAGTCGAGAACCTTACCTACTAGGCCATGCCTGGACCCACAACATTGACATAGACTTCTTAGAACGAGCCTTATATTCGTGTTAGATAGTAAAATAACATAACATTATTTTTATTATAAACTTTTGTGTGTCGAATTTACAGAAAAGAGAAAGAGCATTTTGAATTTTCATTTTTATACAAACACAACTTTTTCTAGAAAATACAAATCTGATTTTTCCTTACCCGTAGAAAGTAATAAAAGTGACAGTAGACTCATGTGCCTAGATATTGTAAAGTACTTCAGCTCAAAGGAATTTATAAATTCTGTAATGTTTTCTTTCGTTTCCGGAATGAAAGTATTCGACATTCGATAATGTTTTAATTAATTAAAAAGTGGATGGAAAATTAAGAAAAGTTTGAGACCTTGATCAAACTTGAAACAAGGAGAAGATGAGTTTCGAGTTGCCAAAATAGTTTGTTTGTTTGTAATTAAGCACAATACAACACAATAGGCTATCTGTGCTTTGCCCACCACGGATGTATCGAAACCCGGTTTCTAGTGTTGTAAGTCCGCAGACTTACCACAACGGTCAGACAACTTTCTAAGTACACCTAACACTGACTGACTAACCCATGAAAGAAAAACGCAGTTTGCATAATAAGCTCATGAAAGTTTACACAAAATACATATTAAATTACAATAATTTGTCGTGAAGAGCAATGTTGAAGTAATAGCTGAAAAAAAAAAGATAGTTTTTATATTATTATTTGTCTTACGTTTGGTTCTACAGCAGTCCAACACTTACTAGATGTATTACACTATGAAAGGTTAGGCTTACAACGTTAGTGTTTTTTTATCTGAAACAGCTTCACAATAAGTCTTTATGGGAATTTTCCTCTATTATACATCAGATACCCATTCCCACTTGTGCTAGATGTCGCCCTACTAGGATATAATTAAGTTTATTTTATCCTACGAAATCTTTTGTGTAGTAAATAGTTTTAAAGCTGCCAAATCATCTCAGCCACCTAGAGGAACTACCAGAATAATAATGATTATAAAATAAATCGAACCTATTGCATCTGTATTTAACAAAAAAGACACTTTATATTCACTAGTTTTTATGCTAAAACATTCTCTATGATTGGTACCGTATGGCAGGTAATTTGGGGTTTATGCTTGATAACAACTGTAATTAAAGTAAATAACAGACACAAAATGTGGGATTAATTTCAGCAAATTTAGTACTTGGTTACTTGAAACGCCTGTTTACTTTTGTATAAACATTCGGCGTTTGAGACATCATCGTATTTGTATTCAAGTTATTTCTTTCGATAAAAGAAGGTTTAATCCCGTAAAGAATAATGCAATATTAAACCTCTACAAAAGAAATCAGGCTAGGTTTTGACTAATACATCTCCTAATGCCCTAAATGAATCACAAATTAATGTAACCGTGGCTCGATAACCAAGCACACCGATAGAGGGATCCCAAATAATCGTTGTCCATTCACGCTGGTGGTGAACAAGTTAAACTAATGACTTTCAATCGTTCAGGTGGCAATCGAGTGTTACATTTCTTCTAGTCAGATATTATAGTTAAACTAAAATCATTCCAGTAGTTACCATAACAGCTACAGAACCTAGTTTTCTGCTGTTGTTTTTCTGATGAAAGGAAGAAAAGAAATTACCAACAAACTTCAGTATAATAACGCTTGGAGACGGCTTGAATAGGTAATGAAGAAAAGCATTATTAGTCTTAAACTCCTCGTCATCGAATTTAAACTTCAAGTATACCAACAAACTTAAAGGTCCTTCAAAGTTCAAGACCTAGGTTAGTTTCTACTTCTAGTACCTCATTTCCTTATTAGCACTAATATATTTTCAACTATAGTATTGCAGTAGTAGGAATTTAGTAATTAGTTTCTTATATTTTACCTTTAATAAAGTTTCTACTTCGAGTTTCTAGTTTCTACTTCGAGTTCTAAGCCTCGTCTTTCAACGCCTGTACGTACCGTTGGATTAACGCGACCCCTCAAAATGTTTATTAAGACTCCAAACTATGAATAATCTAAAGATATTTATTATAATTTCTATAATATGAGTGAAAACTTACACTACTATTACTCAAAAAGTTGGTAGCCTTGTATATTACCTGTTGCGTTGTATTATAAGGACGTAAAACGTCGAAACTGTTTAGTTTGGCGTCTAACACTATACACCATGAGAGGGCGTGTTGTTTCTATGTTTTATTTGGCATTCCAACATCGGGAGTATTACTCATTTATAATCAAAAGCTAATCTACCAAGCTTTTATTTTTTCTAGAATAATTTTGCACACACACACTATGGAAATTATAATAAATATAATTATTCATAGTTTGACTCCGTAACCAGTGTACACCATTCGAGCAATATTTTGGAAAGGAAATAAAATACTAAAACTAAAAGCAAAATCGTTAGTCTGAGGTAAGTTAATATCGCAGTGATAAAATTAAAACCTCAGAGTCGGATAATTGTCAGACCAGAAGTACAGGTGAATATGTTTTATTTTCACTGTAAATATTTTTATTACAATGCTAAAATCCGGGGTTAGATTCTTCGTGGTAAGTAGAGCGCAGATAGCGCATTTGTGAGACAGCGAATTCTACTTTTATGTTGTTAGAGTTTTGTTTACCGTTCATTTACTATTCTTTCTATCGTTAAGTTCAACTATAAAACTGTAGTTATATTAAAGCGCTAACTCACTTTCTAGCTAGAGCACGTTGAATTTGAGTATGTTTGTATTACGAAAGTGATACAAGCTTCCCCTAGCGGTAACGTACACATATTAATGTTGTGAAAATTATTTAAATTAATTGGTCTCATGAGATGTAACCTCGTGTTCTAACCACTAAGTAAAAACCCTGCCTTGATCTGAAACGAGTTACTTCACGAAATATTGTAAAAACAAATTATTGCTCGATATTGTTATTGATCTTGAAGTACTTTAATTTTGGAATATTGTTGGTGTTTTTTTGTTGTTGTTTTCGGAAATAGGATTTTCTTCTAATTCTTTTATTTATTGAAATGGTTAATGGCATTGATATTTATTTTGTATTGTTAGTTTGTAATCAAGCACAAAGCTACACAATGGGCAATCTGTACGCTGCCCGCCACGGGTATCGAAACCAGGTTTCTAGCGGTGTAACGCCGCAGACACTCCGCTATGCCACTGCAGGGCATGTTGTATCGTTCATTAACGTTAGTATCAAATCCTGGCCAGGCACGGATTATAAACTATGTTTTTATAAGTGATATACTATAAATACCAACTGTTTGAAAGTTTTATTATGGATTTCTGTGGTTATTAAAATTCAATAAATTATTTTCCTTTTTATTCGACCCTAGTTGTAGCGGTGTTTTGGTTTAGTCCTTTAAGCATTGTGTAGCTGTTCGCTAAAAAAAAATAACAGAACAGCAAGGATAAATACTCTGACTGGGATAAAGTGTATCATTGTATTTTCAACCTCGAATAGTTTTATTTTATCGTTTTTCAACTTCTTAGTAAAAGATCATAGTTACTATCTCGGTCGGTTAGGCTAGATTTATAGTCCTTAAGTACAAATCTAATTCGTGCCTAACTTGCCATCCGTGATATACATTGTTTCCATGACTCCTCTTAGTTTCCCTTATTATTAATCGTTTCTTACGCTGTTTTTCCTTATATTGTATAATATTTGCATATCTTTCTCCTTATCTTGACTCTATTTTTTCTTCTCGTCCCACCAAATTTTTCTTTTATGATCATTTTTGTTTTTTCCTTTATTTCCTCTCACTCTTTAATGTTATTTTCAGTTAATTTTACTTTTCTTCTTACTTTTCTCACTCGATTTTTGTTTGTGTTATTTTTCTCTATCATTCACTCTTAAAAACAGTTCTGTTCAGCACTTGAAAGGGTGCAGAATTTTGTCCCTCTAGAAACACCTAGTGAACTAAAACTTTTCACATTCCCTTATAATTACAGAAATAAATATTTGTTCAGGTGCAATATAACACCGTTGAAGTGGAATTTCACAATATTTAATTTTCTCTAAATGTCTGTGAGTCGTCTTTTTCCATTGTTATAACTGTTTCTATCGTTAGAAGGCGTCTTTTTAAATATTTGGTAAAAATAATGCAAAGTCCAGTCCTCTTAATGATAACGAAGGCAATTTATTTCTTCAAGCATAATGTACAAGTTTTATAGGCTACGTTCGTTGATAGGCCTAACCCGCAAATAAAACTAAGCAAACACTTCCTTGCGAGTTCTCTGCTTTGGTGAAACATAGATTCAACATTTACAGCGTTAAACTGACCGTAACGAAACTCACCAAATGACTAAAATCTACTGGCCTACTCCATTTCTTTCTTCTTTTTTTTCTTTGCCTAAGTTTGAATTATTCATCATTATTCGGGACCTCATGAAATTTCTTGGCGTCAGACGTCATTGCTGCATCTCAAAAATATTCGAAACGTCACACCAAATATAGAACTCTTCCCTAGAACGTCTAAATTGAAATATTGAAACTAGGCTCACAGCATGATAAAAGATGTTCTAATCCTATCCAAATCTATACAGAATTGTTAAATTATATTAAGTATGCAATCTAACTTCAGTCTCCTTCTCACTTTTTTCTTCTAGTGATTTTAAATAACGTTTAATATTCTTGCATGGGAAATACAATTTGTTGTTGCATTCCACCTTTTAAGTCCCCAGTTGGGACAGCAGTAAGTCTATGGACTTACAATGGTAAAATCCGGGGCTCGATTCTTCTCAGTGGGCACGACAGATAACTCAGTGTGGCTTTGTTATACAAAAAAAAATGCATTATCCATCTATATTTTTCTACATATTAAACATATCTTTATTACAATGCTTTCTTTTTGTTAATATGTATCATAAGGCCTAAACGAAAACTATCTATGCATATCTAAAGAACATGATTGCAACACCGTTACGGTTGTAGTGCTAGGCTATACTATATGTTTCCAACCCCTTAACTAGGGTTAAGTAGGGACTAGATGCCTCATTATCTGATTTTTCATGTGGGAATAACAAAATGATTTTTTTAACTAGCGAGCTTAATTATTTTTGTTAATGAATCAGTCAATAGATGTGAGTGGACTTACCCTTGATCTTCATTGCCCGTTGGCCAACTGATCTAATAGGTACCAATCACTCTTTTCTTGTGGCAAAACTTGAGTGTTTATTGCCATATTTAAGACCCATATATTAAGAATGTGTTGGAGCCTGATAGACCAAATTGTTTTGTGTGAGGGTTTTGGCATATCCTTAGATTCTTTGTGACAAAAAACAGAGTTTCGAGATTTTACCATAGAATGCACATATATTTCCATTTAGAATTAAGCAGGGGTTTTATAGTGTTTCTGTAACTTTAACCTCCATGCCAGAACTCCTAAAGCTCATGCTTTCGATGTCTGGCCATTCTCAACACGTTAAATAAATCTTACTGGCAATACTCAACACATTAAATAAATCTTACTGGCCATTCTCAACACATTAAATAAATCTTACTGGCCATTCTCAACACGTTAAATAAATATTACTGGCAATACTCAACACGTTAAATAAATCTTACTGGCAATACTCAACACATTAAATAAATCTTACTGGCAGTACTCAACACATTAAATAAATCTTACTGGCAGTACTCAACACATTAAATAAATCTTACTGGCAATACTCAACACATTAAATAAATCTTACTGGCAATATTCAACACGTTAAATAAATCTTACTGGCCATTCTCAACACATTAAATAAATATTGCTGGCAATTCTCAACACATTAAATAAATCTTACTGGCAATACTCAACACATTAAATAAATCTTACACTTGAGTTATTGCATAAATGAAGTATTATGTTTCTCCCCTATAGTTATTTCTGTATCACTAATTTTGGTTTTGGCTGAATATTTCCTAATATATGGAAATCAGCGATAGCGTAATTGAAAAAATACCCTCGTTCCCATCTCTAAGTTCTAATTTTTATCACTTTAATTTCCTGTGTCTTTCTTCCTCCATTATTTCAAAGCCACATTTAGATTCACACACGGTAGTTGTTAATAGCCCCCGATGGGTCAGCAGTAAATGTTACAACGCTAAAATTCGGGGATGGATTCCCCCACAAAGCGCAGATTGCTCGTTGTATAGCTCTGCACCAAAGAAAATAGCAGCTATTATGTAACTTGTTTAAGTATAGGATTAATAAACAAATGAGATTATAGTGAAACCTAAAAACGTACACAAATAGTTTCTGTCAGGGAAACAGAAACGTGCAAGTCGTTTGGGAAACCTAAAAACGTACACAAATAGTTTCTGTCAGGGAAACAGAAACGTGCAAGTCGTTTGGGAAACCTAAAAACGTACACAAATAGTTTCTGTCAGGGAAACAGAAACGTGCAAGTCGTTTGACTGAAACGAAGACAATATAATTTTCTTTCCCTTACGACGGTTTTAATTAACCGTTTTTTTTTCTTACGTTACATTCTAAACTGGGGATACAGTTTCAGAGAACGAACACGATGTTATCATTTGGCATATGTTTTTTAATTGCTAAAAGTTTCTTAGTTTGATTCTCTCAAGCAAGTCGTGTTTCTTAGTTTTGATTCATGTACAATGGTTTGAGTTTGAATTCCATCCGAAGTTTTCTTAGGTTCAATTGAGGCCAAACTTATTTAAGTTTTGATGTGTTTTTAAACTCGATTAAACTAAGGTTTTTTTTAATTTCTTTCAAGCGGACCAGTTTTTAATTTTGAATTGTGTGAAGTTTTTTAAACCTTAATTCGTA